ATACACTTAGTCCAGCGTTTTTCTAATTTTCTTATTCCCTCCAAATAATAGACTTAAATATCTTACCGCCCACCCATTTCTTTAGGTTTGGAAACAGCAAATAGTCACAGGAGGCTAAATCTGGAGAATATGCTGAATGGGTTACCTGTTCGTATCGCAATTCGTGGATTCGTAATAAAAAATTTCGTAAAAATTCACGAGGTTGTCTGCTTTGAACGGCTATCAAACACCAACTGAACGAAGCAGCTTGCTCAAAATTAAAAATTTGCCCACTGGTAGATTACAGCTGACGGCAGCACTATGGCAGCACTATCAAACCGCCCTCGTATTATTCATTTTGAAAATTTTAACTTCAAATTTTTTTACGTGTTTTGCATACATAAGCCTAACAAAATCTCCATTTTGTTTAGAGTTGCCATCGAAAATATAAATTGAAAGTTATATTTATATAGCCGTAATTTTTTCTTTCAGAGCTGTGATATAACCATATTTAGTCTGGTTAAAACAAATTGGCATCACTTTTAGAATTGTCAAATGTTTTTCGTTGTATTGTGTACAATATGATATATAAAAATTGTACACTAAAAATTAATTAATTTAATTAAAAGAAAAAAATGAATATTAGAAGGGCAATGATAAACATTTTTGTATTGTGTATATTTTAATTACTTTATTAATTTATGTATTTGAATTAATTAGTAAATGAAATGCTCATATTATTTAAATGGATGACTGGAATTTTGCAACATATATCCAGTGAACATTCACAATAGACTGATTTAGCCGCACTAAGCCTTAACACATACAATTTTTTGCGAGTTAAATCTAACTCTGAAGATTCTTCGAGCATTGTTGTTGCTTCACATGTTTTCTTTCGTAAGTTGCATTTATTTGTTCACTACTTTGAAAGAAATAATTACGGAAAAAATTAAGAAAAAAACAAAAAAAACTCAACTAAGTGATGGGCGTGCATTTTGGTATAATTTACCAGAGTTCATATTTGCATACCCCATGAGCATCTCTTTTCGGCTCATTCTGCTCGCAGCTCATGAGGCGGCAAGAAGCTCTTCTCATACGATGGCTCACGATCGAAGATTTGTACGAAGGTGTGACATTTTTAAAAAATTGAGTTCAACCTAATAGTGAAATAGATTTATGTTGCTGTAATAAATATTTTATTTTGCTTTTTATATTTAATATTGTGCAAGTACTTTTAATTATGAAACAGGCAATTAGATAAAAATTCTCAATTAGCCTTACTACAGAATCTTATTTCCTTATGTATAACTTGGGGTTGGGTTGGAGTGGCGGCCTTGTATCTCAAAAAGCCCATTAAGCACAAATAATGGCCCATTGTGGTACCACAGGAGTTACGTTGATTTGTATATAGATTTTAATCAGTATACATTTAACGCCGAAGAAAGGTAACGACTCCCCTATTAGGTAAAGGAAAACCAACCTGACAGTTCTATGAACTTTGCTAGGTCCCTAACATTACATGATGACAACTCAGTCAGGTCAGTTAGAAAAGGAGATTCAAGGGTTTTTAATCTTCTTCTGGCTAGGGAAGGGCACTGACACATGAGATGGAGTACAGTCTCCTCCTCATCCTCAGACCCACAACCTCGACAAAAGTCATTAAAGGTCTCATAGCGTGCCTTCCTATTACGCAGTGTCCCGTCAGCACAGATACCGTAGTGCTGAGCAGGTTACGTCTTAGTTGAAGTAGCTGACTAGTTCCTTGTCTAAGTTCGGTCAAGTCAACCTAGAAATCTGACTTTAAGGTTCGTCAGACCAGTATTGCTTGGCTATACTCAGGTATTTTTGAATGATTGCCAGTTTAACTGTAGCAAGTGGAACGCCTATATCAGAGAGGTTAATGTTAGGGAGAAGAGCACCTGCCTTGGCTAGGTCGTCTGCCCTACAATTTCCTGTGATATCCCTGTGACCAGGAATCCAAATGAGTTTGACCCTAACAAACCTAACAAGGTCATTTAGTGAAGCACGGCAGTCTTGAGTTGTAATTGATGTGGCTGAGGTGCCAATCAGTGATCTGATGGCAGCTTGGCTATCAGAGAAAATTGAGATTGGTAAATCGGATGTTCGATTGCTTAGAATCCATTTTACAGCTTGGTGAATTGCCATTATTTCAGCTTGAAAGACGCTACAGTGGTTTGGAAGTCGAAGCGAGATGCTGAGACCCAGTCTTTCAGAGAAAATGCCACAGCCGACTCGTTTATCTATTTTGGAGCCGTCCGTGTAAATATCAACCGTTTGGAGAGGGATCACTCTTTCAAGGATCCAGTCCTCCCTGCTTGGTATAAGAGATTCGAACCCCCTGTTTAGGTCTGGGTAAAAACACATGTAGTCAATAGAGACGGGAGTTGGCAGATCCTGATTCAGTATGATCGCGTGGCCTATATCAGTTCTTGACCAGCAGGAGAGGGCGTTGAGCCTGGTTGCAACTATTTTGACTTGCTGTTTTACCAGAAGCCGAGATGGCAGCCAATGAAGCAGAGCGAAAAAAAACTTGCGTGGGGGTGGAGCGAAGAGCACCAGTGATTTGTAGTGCAGCTATCCTCCTAGTTTTGTCAATTAATAATGTGGTACGCTTTTTCAGTTGCCTGCCACCAGAAAGCAGCCCCATACAGAAGAATTGATTCGATAACAGCTGAATAGAGCCAGAGTATAATGCACGGTTTGAGCCCCCAACTGCGACCTATAGCTATAGCGACCTATAGCGACCTACAGCAGTAGGTGGCGCATACAGCTTTGCGGGCTCTCTCAGCCAAGTTGTCTTTCCAGCTGAGTTTAGAGTCCAGAATAATACCCAGATATTTGACGTTCGAACTTAAATTTAGAGTAACGCTCTTTATCTTTGGTAAGGAAAATGTCGGTATTTTATATTTCCTGATGAAGAGAATAACCTCTGTCTTTGCGGGGTTAATATCAAGACTGAATTTCCTATACCATTTAGTGACAATGAGGAGCGCAGAGTTAATAACATTGGATAGAACTTGGGGGAATTTGCCAGATGAGGCAATAGCAATGTCGTCCGCATAAGCTATAACACTGCATCCGGATTGTTCCAAAAGTTTTAACAAAGAATTAACCGCTATGTTCCATAGAAGAGGAGAGAGAACCCCACCTTGTGGCGTTCCCCGACAGACTGCTCTGGAGGATTGAACACTTCCGATGTCGGATGTAATAATCCTAGTTTTGAGAATGGCCTCTACAAATTTAACCAGACTATTGTCGAGATTAGTTTTGAGAGGGTTTTTATCATACCATTGGGGCAGACATTGTTGAAAGCGCCCTCAATATCGAGAAAAGTTGCAAGTGTGTATTCCCTGAGAGAGATGGAGTGGTAAACTTACGAGATGAGTGTATGAAGCCCAGTATCGACAGACTTGCCTTTAGTATAAGCATGCATACGAATCCACCCTGTTGAATATCGGCGGGAATAATTCCGTCCGGACCTGGAGATTTATAAGGTTTAAAAGTTTGGATAGCCCACTTGATTTAAGTGTTGGTCACTTGAAACGGTTTCGGATTGTTTAGAGGGGGCAAGCTGATTTGAGTTGATAAATCAGCATCAGAGGCTACATTCCCTGGGAAATGAGAGTCCAGACGGATTCACTCATGTATTGCTTTCATTAATCTGTAGAAAAGCAAATTTATAGCTAATTAAATAAATAGATTTATATTTATTCTAAAAATTATATCCAGTCGCCACGCATAGTATAATTTAGGCCAGTAGCACCTGTCAGTTCTGGAACTAATATTATTAAATCATCTTGACCACCTCTAGTATTTTTTTCGGTAGGCTTCGATATCAACAGTGGTTGATTAAAATCACGAATTGTGAGATTATAACGCTATAATTAAGAAAACAATAGTTAGATGTATGTTATTGTCAAGCTTTATAAATAAAGTGATAATCTAATCTAATATATAAAAATCTCATGTCACGGTGTTTTCATGAAACTTTTTTGACGTTAAATTACAACTTATATTCACAAAATATTGGTCTCGCCCGTGCGACTAGTGGAGTAACATTAGTATGACTTTCTCAGGATTACGTTCCTAGATTAGGTTCTATACATAAGAAAGAACAAATCATGCAACAAATAATGTCTCTACGAACAGAATAGTATTAAAATTTAACAATTCAAAATAAAATTATTATTAAGTAATTAATTCAATTCTTCTACAGCTGGTTTATGATTTCGTTCTAATATAAACACAGCAAGTAAAATTGTTAATAAAAACTTTCACAGCAAAAGTAACAAAACTCCAGAAAAATGTACGAATAAAAATGTCAAGTACGGCTTTGGGTCAGTTGGTTAAGGTGCACTGACTCTGAGCTTCACATTTGGCAGGAACCGAGTTCGATTCCTGGTACTTGCAGTCTCAAAAATAATTATTTACGAATAATTAAATACAAGAATTATTTGCAAGACCCCTGATGATGGGTACCTCCGTCATCAGTTATACAATAAATAAATGATATGAATTCCAGTATAGTTAAAGCTTATTGAGGGGCAGAGATAAGCGCCCCAGCCACAAAAGAGTCACAAAAGAGTAAAAGAGCGTAATAGCTTTAACTAAAGAAACCACAACAAAAATAACATATTGTTACGAATTTCATCAGAGTAGCAATGAAATGTTTAAATATTATTTAAACATTACGTCAATTGATATTTTTATAAAAGGAGTTTGGAAATTTGTTTGGTGTGAAGCTGTGGTTTTTATTAAATTGACTCCTAATTAATACTAGTTCTTTGTAATACACAAAATATATAAATATAGTTTCTCCAATTCTCTAAAGTTCGTTTCATGTTTTACAAAATCCTGAGATACGAATAATCACGCAGGCGATTACGTAACATTTGGTGTCAGAAGTGGGATTTTGTAAAATGATGAAATTGGAAGAATTGACTGTGGTTCAACTAAAAGAGCAGTTGGAGAAAGTGGGACTTGGCACAGGTGGTGCGAAAGCGGAACTGCAGTTGAGACTTCGTGACGAGTTGGAGGCTGATGGCATACATGAAGAAGAACACGAGTTCCTCGATGAAGAATCTGACACGAATAGTGAAATGATGGCAATCATGAACTTAATGATGCAGAAGATTGAGAAAAATTCTGAAGAACAGGCGCACGGTTTACGTAAGTTGGAAGAAAAGCTGGAACAACAATTTAGTGAAATCACGCAGACATTAGGACAAAATTTTGTCGAATTAAAGATGGAGTTACAACAAGTCCAAAAAAGGTGCTCGAGAAGGAAGGACCCGATTGATCAGAATGTCCAGGTCTCAAAAGGTGAGACGGTTCAATTGGAAAACCACGCTGAGAGTAGGCAGGTAAGCGGGTCATCTTCAGCCATTCGTCAAACTGGTAGCGTTAAACTGCAGGCACCGACGTTTGATGGGAGCGAGGCTTTTGAAGTGTTCAAACTCAAATTTGAAATAGCGGCTGCAACAAATAATTGGAATATTGGTGAGAAAACGGAATCACTGATTGTGGCACTAAAAGGTAGTGCGGCAGAAGTTTTAAAACAAATTCCACCCGAACAACATAAAAGCTACCAAGCTGTAATGGATACATTGGAGCGCAAGTACGGTAACGTTTCTATGGCTCCATTACACAGGGTAATACTGGAAGCAAGAGCCCCGCTTGTTGACGAGAGTCCTGGAGAGTACTCTGCCGACATTGAACGGTTGTGTAACTTGGTTTACATTGGTAGCTCTGGTGATATTATGGTGAAGAGTAAAGTCGACACTTTAATAGACGGTATACGTGATCCGGAAACTAAGCGTCAGGTCGTAATGTTCTCAAAGGAGACGTACTCTGAAACGGTTAGCGGCGCTTTGACGTACGAAGCTGCCGGTATAATGTGTTCCTTTACAGCAAAAGTACGGAAAATGAAAACTAGAGTGAAGGCAGGAAGAAAGACAAGAAGGAAGACAGAAGGAAAGACAGAGGGGAAGGCAAGAAGAAAGACAAGAAAGAAGACAAGAAAGAAGACAAGAAAGAAGACAAGAAAGAAGGTAAAAAGAAATAGAAGAAAGAGAAGAAAGGAAAGAAGAATAAGAGAGAAGACAAGAGAGAAGATAAGAGAAAGAAGAAGACTGATTCAAATAATGAATAGGGAAAAAAGAAACAGAAGAAAGAAAAGGAGGAAAGACTATTTCGGTTTAGGTAGTTATGATTTCGTGTTAATCGGCTTTGGTATAGCTGAATCAGTTGAAATTAACATCTGCTTGGACGAGCAAGAGTCCCCATATGTTATATATGTTGAGGGTATTCCATTTGAAGTAGATTTCACATGCGATGTTGTTATTCCATGTGAAGCAATTGGCACAAATGACATATTCCCGGCAAATATGCCACTTAAGACAGATAACATGTTAGCTGTTGATATTCCATCCAATGCGGATGTCTTTGATAGCATGTTGGCTACAGATACTCAAATCGATGCTGGCAGTGCAGTTGATAAAGTTTTCAGGATTAATCAGGAAATCAAATATGATGCGGAGATCGCAGAGGGCTTGTTGGTCGCAGATACGTTATCTTATAAAGATATACCATTAAACGTTGATGCCGGCCTCATAGATGATGAGAACGTGACAATTAATGGAAATATCTTGTTTCATAAGGATATCACAGATGACGTATTAGCTACGGATAGTAAATTTGATGCTGATGTCAGGGATGTCTTGTTCGTTTCGGATATAACAAATAATGAGGATTATACAACAGATATTGATATATCTGATGGTGCGGTTTTTGTTAATCAGTACATTCCTGATTGGCATACTCAATGCATTGACAAGTTTGTTGCGCCTAACGTAAGTAGCATTGATGATAGTGACAGCTATTTGCAAATGGAGGTTTATCAGGGTGACTCAGACGACGCGGGCTTAAAATTCGGAATAACGGTACTTTGCGGCAAGATGACATGTGACTACACTGGAAGTAGGCGGAACCAATTAGATGAAATTCATTGATTTATCAGAAGACCGCTCCTATTGACCAGGAACTGAAATGTTAATGATGATGGTGATACTCAAAATCTCCACCCAATAGCTAGAAGTATAGGATAAGCAATTTGTAAATAAATATAGAATTTCTACAATTAGTAAGTAAGCAAATATTGAAAATCTTGAAAGAGAACGGTGTGTGTTCGCAATTTGTGTCTGATGAAGATGTTGTGATGTTTGTTTGGAGCCCCCTGTTCTTGATGGAACGAAGATCTGTGATGGTGTTTGTCGAATTCAACAGTCGGGGCATCATAGAGCTCAAAAGAAAGTGGTGCATCTGGAACTACTGGCACCTTACTGCAATGATGTGGTAATTCCTGTTCGGGACGAACAGATTTAAGAGGAGGGCAATGTTATGAATTTCATCAGAGTAGCAATGAAATGTTTAAATATTATTTAAACATTACGTCAATTGATATTTTTATAAAAGGAGTTTGGAAATTTGTTTGGTGTGAAGCTGTGGTTTTTATTAAATTGACTCCTAATTAATACTAGTTCTTTGTAATACACAAAATATATAAATATAGTTTCTCCAATTCTCTAAAGTTCGTTTCATGTTTTACAAAATCCTGAGATACGAATAATCACGCAGGCGATTACGTAACAATATATTGTATTTGTGAATTTCAAATACAAGAGGTACGAGCTGAACGAAATCAACAACGATAATTATAACGGAGAAAAGGGCGCCGGTTCGTAATTAACACACGCAGAACCAATGACCGACTGCGCCAACAACTACATCAAGCATTTTGTTCCTTCGTCTTGCATTCGAGTACGAGCCAGATATTGATATTCCGCACATCTATAATGTCGATTGGTTTTATGGACAAAAAATGCCCTTATTGTCATGCATCATGCACTGAAATTCAAACAAGAGTCAGCCGTGATGTGTTGCGCATTAGATAAAGTACAACTACCAGAAATTAAGAAACCACCATAGCCATTGAACGGATTGCTCATCGGCATGCCTGAAGGTTGAAAACTGTATATAGAATCGATAGATAAAGTTTGTGAGTTTTTAGAGTCACTGGATTTGTTAGGCATGCCACCACCACACATTCTATGACTGTAAGTTGGACCGCCGGTTATTTTACTTCTATTTTACCATCAATAAGTCGGAAGGCCAAACGATGTCTGTTTACGGCTTAGGTTTGGACACGTGGCATGTTCTCGCGTGGGCAAACTATCAAGCCTATGTGTGTTGGCTAAACACGAATAAACATATTACTTCTTGAATTTAACTAAATTTAACTTTTAAGAGATCAAACAAGGAATATGTCCGTTATTTTAATGAAATATATTGAATCAAGAAAACGAATGGTTGGTGTTTTTTCCTTTTGATCGGCGATCATCGTCTACAGCGCTCATATCCTCTTTTTATCATACAGCACATTGTCACACAATCACAATACATTCGTTATCTTTCATTTAAAAAAAATAATAATCACTAGAACTTATTTATATGGCAAAACAACGTTTGCCGGGATATCTAGTATTTCATAAATTTTTTTTTAAACAAAAATTTAAAAATGAATAAATAAAGTTACTATTAAGACTATATATTTGTTATTTGTTATAAGAGAATTTCTCCTTACTCGTTTGTAGTAATCTACGAATGTGACATCTTTTTCCTTTCGTTTGAAAGTGGATTTGGGCGACATACCGAAATCTATATCACTCACACGATATGTTTTGTTATTATAATCAGTGATTACTACCATGCCTGTAACAATGTATTATTATTGATTATTATTGAAGTATTGATAATCATTTGATTTTATTCTAGATATTACTATGTACTACTTACCAATTACTTCGGCCTCAAATGCGTTTTGATAATCTGATGACACTTCCACTAATTGAGTCAAAATGTTGTAAATTGTGTCAGTGCGCAATACCTTATGTGCGATTTCAGCACACATCAGTACATCCAATTCATGCTGACGAATAGAGGTAATATATCCTATAAACTTCATTAAACAATTACACTAAACTTACTTTAGCTACTGGATCAAAGAAATTTCGATTCAATTGTTGTAGTTTCCAGCCTTCCATAGATCAACGTAAAATCAAGTTGAGTACATGCAACTGTTGCATATCTGTTAATTCTACTATGCCAACATGTTTAATTTTAATTTGTACTGTATTTCCTGCACGATCCGTTGTTAGTATCTTATGGACAACATTCATCATTATACTTTTCAGATTTTGTGTAGAAAATAGCAAAATACCACCAACAACGTATCCTCGAACCATAACTGGACGACCAACTGCACCTTGCTTATTTACGCACGACGCTGGTCGAGTATGTTGTATAACGTCAGTTAAAATACGTTTTCCTCACATGCCACGTATTTGGTCAATTGCAGCTATAGATATGGATATAACAACATAAAGAAACAATATAAAATATCATAGAAAGAACAATCATAATTATTGTCATAATCTGCATATCAATAGTTGCTGCCTCAGTGTTATCATGACTTTGGTGAACGTTTGAACTGAGAGAACCACTGGGAGAACTAAAGGAAAATATTTACGTCAACATAAGTCTGGTTAAATAATATATTTTATGGCATACTCATGAAAACACTGGAAATGGACACATCGGACTGATGAGAAGATCCACAACTTGCTGTTGACGGCAAACTACCAAAACTCTAATATCAAATGAATAAAAATTAATTAAATCAAGTCTCTTTAAATCTTAAATTTGTTCTTACTTACAGATGATTCAGAGGCAGGATAACTGCCAAGTCCATCACCGCGCCCACGATACATGCCAGGTCTACGCTCTGCACCACCGCGTTGTTCACCACGTTGGCCACCACCGCCGCCGCGAGGTTGCCAGCCACGGATGCCACCACCATCACCATCACCGCGGTTGCCACGATAGCCGCCGCAGCCACCAC